CATTTTCAATGAGAGTGTTGCCTTACGACGGGACAACGCCAAGTCAGGACCCCTAAAAAGGACCACAATTTACAGCACCTCACCTGTCTGGGGCAGGTTCTTGAAATTCAGCCTCGGTGGTTTGGGAAATGCGCGGAACCCACAAACACACGTGCGCCAGCTCAAAGAAAATCCTTACGTACGACATCCTCTGAAGCTCCACGAGCCGTCAAAACCTGAGCCCCCTGAACCTTAGGACCAGAGCCCTGAAACCCCATTTTCCCTAAACCCAAAGCCCTAGGACACGAAACCTTGAACCCCAGAGCAACTCCCATAGAACCCGTCACTCCAGCGGTGCACTCGGGGGCTGCGGCTGGATTAAGACCTGTGGATCTGAAAAAGGCAAAGAGGTGCGGGGCTACAGGGGGCTTACTGGGGCGAGGGCTTGCAAAGACGCAGAGAGAACCCTGGAAGACACCTACAACGCAGTTCCCAGCGACTTGTCACTGCAGCAGGCGTAGTCAGAGGCCACGGCGGGGCGAGGAGGATGGCAAAGATCTGCGGACCTGAAGCTACAGGGGCAGTAAAAGGGAGCTACTGGGGTGAGGGCTTTCGAAACAGACTGCTCACACACCGGCACCTTGCTCACGGGACGCAGCAACGGCCTGCGAGGTCGGTGACGAAAATCAAGGACCTGCGTGGAGTGGGTTCAAGGGGCTACGGGCCGAGGGGTCTACTGAGGGTCGAGCCTCAGGAATGCTTGCACAGCAGCCATTCGAACCTCAGGCAGGGAATCTGGCAGCGCTGCTCATGGTGCGTTGCCACTCTGGTTGTCCTGTGTGCGGGATTGTGCGCTTGTTGCCTTCCTTACATGTGGCCCCTACTGCATCGGTTTCCCTGTTCGGGATCAAACCCTTACTTCTCCGATACCCGGTACTGTCGTGGTGGGTCCAGGTAAAGCCAATCAAGCAAGCCAAGAAAATCAAGCGTAAAATCAAGCGAGCTCTTTCCCTAACATGCGGTTGCCTCACCGGAAATGAAAAATCAAGAGGTTTTTTCCTAAACATGCAATTGCCTCCCTGAAAATCAAAATGAAGCAAGCTTTTCCCCGCACCGCAAAAACAACATCAAGGAAAACCTTCACTGCACTATCAACTCGCCCGCCACTGCTCCAGCTGCAATGGAGCCCAGGCAATCGAGTCCAGTGCATTGACATCAGCCCGCCCGTGTATCCACCGCAATGTCCAGTGTTTTCAAACAAATCCAAGAAAACTTCATACAGGAAGTATCGATATACAAAGGGAGGCAATGTATAAAATCTCTCTATATACAAACTTCCAATCCGTTTATTCCTATAGACGTCGGCCATGGACTGTTTGCGTCATGTGGTGCACGTTGCGGCTGTCGTCTGCTAACACAAATGTCTGTGGATTTCAACTGCCCAACATCGCGGACGACATGAGACAGTGTGTGTTTTGCTTGCTGTTTGTTAGCAGGGAATGAGAAGTAGGGCCTATTTACTCTTTAAGGGAGTATATAGGGTACCTCATTCCCCAATTCCCTAACCAACAGTAAGTTTAGGGCCCAGGCTTCCCAACAGAAACCAGCTCCCAGCCCGTGATGGTGACGAAGGAGGGACCTTGGAGGGGCAAGTCGCAAGTTACCGGAGTCGGAGTTGTTGGCCTTTGGGTGTTTGGTTTAGGGTTTAGGGTTTAGGGCTTGGGGTTTAGGGTTTAGGGAGTCTTAGCCTTCAGCATGCAACTCAAAACGGCGCTGCCACATGCTGCAAAGGTATGCGGGCACGAAATGGGCCATTCTTTCGGGACAGATTACCATCACCTACGAAGGGGGCAGTTCATCCCTCACTCTCACTTCTTTTCATCTTGTCCAGCGCGCGTCACTCCTGTTCTGGTGCCACCGCAGGCAGTACCTGCACTAAACCGCCCAGAAGCTGCCTTGATATTTCCTGCGTCTGGACGACCAATTTCTTGGCACTGGACGAGCAGCTTGTCTCTGCCATTGGGCAATTTGGTGCAAGAATGACTCCCAGAATCTCAACCTGCCTCTGGTCCATCTGGAAACACTGCTCAGCACCGTTCATACCTTGAGTGAGAGTCCTAACGTGGTCTTTCACATTGTTCTTGCCACCAGCTGTTACCTCAATCATGAGTAGGGTCTGTGAATTTGGCCAACACCACATATCACAGCTTGGGTGGGGACACGTCTGCTCGTCAGCTCGGTAGAGAACACCGACCTCCTGGCCAAACGAATCCTGGAGTGTTGTAGTCGTCCCCTTAAATGAGCGACCTGGTTGAAGCTGTTGAATCATGGTAGTGGCATACATTTCTGTTTCCAGGCGTGGGTGCAGGTCGCAAATGTTCCCTGCTTTGCTCAAGAGGCAGCCCAAAGACCAACAGTACAAACACTGCAGCATGTGCCCTCCCACCGCATCCTGAAACTGACAACCCTGCTGCCGCAAAGCCCGTGACACTATCACGCGGCCTTGATTGTAGATTTCTGCCACATGAGGAGAAGAAAGGTCGCTGGTTTCTTCTGTCGACATCAAATATCGGAAAGGCGGTGACAAACAGCCACTTTCCAAGGTCACGAAAGGAACCTTGCACTTGCGATCAGGCTGGTGATCCATCTCCCTTTCCGAGTATTCCTGGGCAGGCAATCCAAGAAGAAACCGCGTCATTGACGGATTGCCTCTTCTTGCTGCGGAATTACCTCGGAGTTCACCTATCAATTGCTGCAAATGACTCTTCAACTGATCAAAGCATTGCGCAACAGTCTTTAGATCCGGCCGCAAAGCCGCAGCCGCAGTCCGCAAAGTTCGCAAACACTCGTTGACTTCAGCCGCTGGACCATTCAGACTTTGCGGGGGCAAGTGCAGAAAGCTACAGCCCCTCACTGACATCTGCAGGTAAACAAGGAGCCGCAAAGCAGCCCAAGTGTTCGCGGCATTTATGCTCAAGTTTTGGAACGTCTTCTTGTCGTTCAACATCTGAAATGTCAGACGAAATTTGTGCTCCAAGACCTCATCTGGATCTGGTGGAGGCTTGTAAAGTGCGAGTTCTGTAGAATTGCTCGATTCACCTGTTGCCGCGGTGACTTCAAGAGGTTCAGTAAATGTTGCCACTACTTTCACTCGAACATCCGCGGCCAGGAACTCCATGGCTTGTTTGCGCATTTTACTGTCCTCGGACATCTTTTTGTGTTCATCAACGTGGAGCAAGACTTGCTTCTCCGGAGGCCTCCCTTGTCCAATGAGAGCGTCCAACAACTGGCTCCGCCTCCGTTCCAGAATGTCCATGCTGGGAGGAATCACCCAACCAAGGGCAGGAAACAAATAGCTGGGCATCCCAATAAACTCCTCGAGGAACTTTCCTACTTTCTGCTTGAACGCAGCGCAACATGCACCCAAAGCCAAGGCAAAACAGAGCATGACACGACGGGCTCTCCAACGCTTCCGGGCGAAGCTAAAGAGTGCCACGAGGCCCACGACCAGAGCAGCACGTCTTGATCTGTTTTTTTCGTTGGCAGCGTCCACATATTGTCCGTGCAAAGTCTTTTGTAAGCACCTCAACATGTAAAATGCTGCAGTGTTGCGGGAGTCCAATCCTAGTAGGCATCTATCAATAGAGTCCAGCTGTGGCATCTGATCGTGGCACCGACGCTGATTCGATCCATCCTCGTTGTTGAAGAATGGCAAGTAAAGCAGCTGCCACATAGATTCAGGCTTCTTCCGGAGTTGCAAGAAAGCGGGCACAATGCAGCTGGTTTTGCCAGAGCCAGACATGTCGCTGATGTACATCAGCCGACTCCGACCTTCACTACGCTGCGCAAGTAGGTTGGCAAATCTATCCAGGGAGTCCCTGGAACAATAGTACTCACCTGAGCCGACTTCGCACTAGCGCAGCTCAAACCGTCAAATTCACATGTGCATGCTACGCTGGAAACTGAGGTTGGGACATTCGTGAAGCTTCACATGAGCTGTATCCAACTTACGACTCGGCAAATGATTCTTGTAGGACTCGGGGCTGCTGAACAAAGGGAACTTCTTGCCAAGGGCTTGCACCGATTCTACGAATTCATCCAGTTTCCGTGTCAGGTAGCCCTCTTTGGAAGGGCTATCTGGCGCGACATCTGTGCTTTCACCACTCTTGCCTCTCGCTAGTGGCGTTCGGGGCTCACTGTTCGGGTCCATGGCATTTAATCACTTTGGATCACTCACTTGAAACTTTTATGGTGAGCTTTTCTTCTGACTGTCTTTTTTCCTAAGCTGACCAGCAAGCTGGGCTCAGATGACCAGTCATAGAAGTGTAAGTCTACAGCTGTAGCCCAACTTTTAACGACTGGGCAACACTATCACTCGCTGCGACGTGCTGTAGCTAGTTTTTACTCAACAGTTGATGCTATTGCTCTCCTGGACATGCTGCGAGAGCCCGCGAGCACACACATCGAGTCCAAAAGGTGTCAAGTCTGATTGGTAAAAGCGGGCGCTGTGAGACTTACATGGCGTGTGTGTGGTGCACTCACATGGCACACGCAGGACCCTGCATGACCTACAAGTCGAACCTCCAAGCCCCGAGGCTGCATAACTCGATGAAGAAGACTGACCTGGGCAGGATTTCAAGTCCAAGTGTGGGAATTTGGCTAGGACATCACAAACAACCCTCACAATGATGGGTGCAAAACACTCAAACAAGTTAGATCTTAGGGATCGGCTTTGGGATGAAGGGAGTTCTCAGGGCACATGCACCTCGCTCAAACGCCCGTGCTGCCCATGAAAGCCGGAAACTGGCACACTTAATTTATGATGCTCAGAACTGGGGACATTGTATACCCTGCCATATAGGGGGCCGGTACACTTCAGCTTCTCACCCACGCCAAACAAGGTCAGGGTATTCTTCGTTTCTAAAATCAAAGTTTTGGGCAGTAAAAATGACAAGCAACACCAACCACGTACAAACAGACAGACAGACAGCCAGGCAGCCAGGCAGGCAGACAGACATACATACATGCATGCACCATCATACACCACATTATACTGAAACAATGTACTACTTACTTCTATATATATATATATGTATATATATATATATAGCAATATATTGTAGGGTCCAGGTACTGGTTGCGGAGCGAAGCTTTGGGGGAGCGAGCAAGACATGTTGGACCCGCGAAAAGCTTCAAGATCTGGACTATTCACCTCGAACTTCCCCGCGTACCCCTTGCAGCCAGGAGTCCGTCTGCCAAGGGCTCCTCGCAGCATTCAGATTGCAAAATGAATTCTCTGCAGGGCTCTCACAGATGTGCGGCATGGGCGCTTTTTCAGAGTTCTCACTCAGATTGCACAATTGGATTCCGCGTCTATCCGGAACCTCCTCGTCGGGTGGCACAGACGCAGGCAGCTCCTTTCAGCACGCGAAGAAGCTCTCAGTTGGGGACTCCACGGCGCTGTCTTTCCTTCTCACTTCTCTCCGCAGTCCTCTGCCTCTGCTGCCGGCTCCTCGGCAGGTCCAGGTTCAGCTGCGCCTGGGCCCCCGCGACTTTGAAGCCAGACAGCTCACAGACTCAAAGTGCACCCTTCAGCTCCGGACTCTCTGCGCGCTCTGGCGCCGGCGGCATCATGGGCGCAAGCGCGGTGCTCTTGTATGCTTCCTCAACAGCGGGTGTCCGAGTTCTCAATCTCTTCGAGAGCCGTGGGAAGGGACGACAAGGCTGCAAATCACGAAGCCGCTCAACAGCATGACAAATCCAAGCAGCGCTGAATATTTCCGAGGAGGGCTTGGCCGGCGGCACTGACTGGCCTTCGCTGTCGGAGAGTTTGATGTCAACTAACACAGAGGACGCTTTGGTATAGTTCTCCGTCGTATACACGCTCCTCCGGATTTCCCACATACTGTACTGATTGCTGGCGATGATGAAGTTTGCTAATGCTAAAATTATGTTCCTACAACCTTGCTTGCCACTGTAGCCACTGCTGCTGCTGCTGCTGCTGCTGCAATCTGTGCTGCTGATGCTAGAACCCTCTGCTGCTGCGGCTGCTACTGCGACTACCAATACAGGTACCGCTACCACCACAACTACCCTTAGTGGTACTATTGCTGATAGTACTAGTGATAGCACTAGCAGTTGCCACGATGACGACTGCTGCTACTGGTACCACCTCCGAAAGTATTCATCTAACAAGCTACATTTGAGTCAAGCTGCTCGAGTCTTTGAAAGGAACGATTTCCAGAAGTGCCCTCGCCGCCGCGATGGCTGCCGCCTGAGCTGTGGTGGTGATGGCGGTGGTGGTTGTGGTGGTGGAAGAGCATCAGCAGTAATACGAGTACTGGTACTAGTAACCAGTACAATATCAGCACAATGGTACTGAGTACTGGAACTGGTACTGGTCTGCTCCTCCTCCTTCACTTTTGCAAGCCAAGGCACATCCAAGGCTGTGCTTCTGTCCCCTTTGGAAGCGTCTTCACGCATGCCGACCTGGCTCAAGATGAATCATGACTGTCAGTTGACCGTGCGTGGCTATGAACAAGCGGCTGTTTTGCTTGTCCAAGGTCATAAAAGGCCAGCGACACCTCCCTGTTCTTTGATTCGGCCTGCTGCGTCGCCAGCAGCCTCAAGTACTGCATTGAACAAGATAGTAAAGCCGTGTGGGAGGCTAGCCACAAGAATCGGCTGGCGGATAAAGCTGTTCTGCTCTCAGCACTGCATACACAGACTGCCGCCGAGTATCGCTTCTGCATCAGTCAACGCCTGCAACGACCAGAGCTGGACTCGCGGAGACTCCCAAACCTCCCAACCCCCCCCTACAAAAAAATCACCCAGTATATTGCGCTCTGCAGGACTGCACTCTAGATCCCAACCTATGATGAAGTCTCACGGTAGTCTCTAACATGTTCCTGGATACTACGGTTCAGGGATGAGTGTGTGGGGTGTAGCCCAAAATCCTATTATTCCTAAAACCTTCAGAGCCCACCAAACCAAAGTCCTATCAACACTACATCTCTAAACCCAACGACCACGAGAACCTAATACCTCTTAATTTAGACATGTACCTGAAATCGTTTCCTTGCCCTATACGTTAATTGCTCGTTAGAAATAACATAGA